GTGAATTTCCACGAATTCCACGAAACCTCAAATTCCAGGCAGTCAGACAGACGCACAGACACACAAACAACTTCTGGTTTATGTATAGAAAGATGACCCCTCTTTTGCGGCTTCACAGTGGGTGACGAAAGCGCTGCGGCTCTGTGGCAATTCTGGTGTCCCCCTCTAGTTGCCACGCCCTCTGAAAGTGAAGGCTCTCGTGTCACGACTTACGTTTTTATTTTCTTTCTACTTTTGGATAGTATTAGCGCTGGACGACGGGAGAAACCGATTAGGGAACCAGAGGCGACAGGATACCTCTTTGCTGGCAAAAGAGCAGATCCGGAAAACTCGTCCAGAGAGGCTGCCAGGTCCTTACTTACGTGTTCTGTCATGAACGCTACTTACGTGTTCTGTCATCTTCATGTCTCTTGCTGGAAAATCACTTAAGACTATGCAATATATGAACGCCATTATGCCCACAATACTGAATCGGAGTTGTGCCTTTGGCAGCAAATTGCTCCAATTTGGCTCTTGCGACCTCGATGCGATCGGGCTCCAGATGGTTTTGTGCCAAGAGAATGTGTAGTAATGTTTAGACGTCCCGCTCGAAGACAATTTGAAAGCGATTCGAAGTTCTGAACAAAATTTCTGATACTGGGGCTAATTTTTTCTGTTACCTAGGACTCGTCCGGGTTCCTAACTTCCTGCTGGTCTATTTCTAGAAAAGGATCTTCTTTCGATACTTGGGACGGATCTCTTGCGAACTCTTAACTTCGTACATGACTCTCAACCTTACCTTAACCCGTTAACTATTCTGGCGGTGCCTTTGGTAGGTGATGTTCTCCACCTTTGATGTTTAAGAAGATGACGTTGCTTGGAATGTAGTCGGTAGAAGGCATCCGTTGTCGAGTTCTAGTCAATGGTGATGACGTTTTCGGAACTAGATCAGTTGGCATTGTGGTGGAACAGTGTATGGACTGCGCCACACCCTCAATTACAGTGACTTCTTAACAACTGTCATTTGGAGAGCATTCTTGCCCATGCCCAAGTGAGCATTCTCTGCTATGCTCGAACGTCGTCCATTTCCTTGGCCTTGACGATAGCCGCTAAATCAATTGGGAGCGCCCCGAACACACGAACTTGTTCTCCCACTTCACTGCGCTCGCCCAATCGCAATCTTTCCGTTCGCTCCTATGTCGTCTCAAACCGCATTTGATTCTGCGATGATTCGTCTCGCTGTTGCTGAAACCGACTACTTGACACTCACTTCCCTAGCCAGTCACGTTTCCACGAGATACGGCTGTATCACTTCCATTCTTTCTTTCTCGATTGTTCTTTTTTCATAGCTATTCCTACTTACAAGTTACACGTTAAGGCTTCCTCGATCAAGTTCAAAGAATCATTGTACTGCAACAGGCCTTATTGAACTTTGGGCTGTTCTCCTTTGTACCAGAAAGGCTGCTGTGGGACCTTCTAATGAGGGCTGGAACTTTGAAAAGGTCGTCCCCCGTGAAGGGTCTACTAGCAACAAGAAACAAAAACATTGCCCCGCTGCTACTATAGAGGACTGTATCCCCAAGGAAGACAGTCTCATTCAGTGGCAGGCTACCATTGAAAAGTTCCATCTAAGACCTCGCTGGCCCGAAAGAAAACCATCAAGCGTTAGCGCCAACGCTAGCGTTTGTTGACGCTAGCGTCTACAAAGGCTAGTGGAAAAAATAGCGATTGTATTACGCCGTGGCTAGCACATTGGGGTTGCTGTAGAATCTAGAAGCCTCAGACGATTTGAAACACGCTTAACAAGCGCCAAGATTAGCCGATCGAATCGCTCGTAACCATAGGAGTTATGTTACAATGTCTTTCTTAACGCTTTGCTTCAGATGTCGAACCTCGCTGGGGTTTTACTTGCCTTCCTTTTCGTCGTCAGTTACGCTAACTATGCCGATCGTGAGTCCTTTTTCATTTCACGTTATCATCTCATCAAGGTCAAGAAGCGGTTCAGATTTTTCAGCAGATGTAAATCTTTGAGAATTTGAAAATTGTTCCGTGCTTGAAAATTGCATGCCATTATGGCTGCTGACACCCAAGTTCGTTCTGCGCACTTTAACACACTTCAGTCCGCGTGACCCTCGTGCGCAGTCCTAGGCTATCTTCCTTTTGCGGACGGGTGACACTCATGGTGTGTCATAAACTTTGTGAACTAAATACTTCTAGCTTGACTTGTGGTCGGATTTTCGTTGTTAAATATCTCTATATGTGTCTTGACTGATACAGTAGGCAACAAATGTATAAAGGGAGGGGGGGGGGCAAAAAAAGACACTTCGACCGAGTCACATATCAGCAAAGTTTTCGCAGCCCAGACAGAAGACGTGGATACGAGTACCAGGGCGGAAGATACCCAAGATGTTCCTCGATAAGCAGGAGCCCTCGCCCATCACCTTCATGTACACCAAAATATGAAGCCATCTCCAGTCGCAGCCTGACTGGAGAAGGCCTATGGAATTCATGTCACCTTCCAAACAGCTGCGAAACTTCTTGTATGGAGTCACCCATGGACAGCTACCTGGGACCAGCACTCTCGATCTGGAAGACCTCCATCGAGCAGCTCCGACAACGTCGCTACGGTCCAGGATATCATCTTCACCGCAGTCGCCAAGGCGCGGGTTGATGGTATGGACCGGAAGTCCTGGAATGCAAAGACCGTATTTTCTTCATGGATCCCGGACTGAAAGTGAATGCTGACTGTTACATCGAACAGCTCGAGGAGAATATCCTGCCTTCATGTCGTCGCCTGTACCATCTTGGAAACTTTGTACTGCTACAGGATTGGGTGCCAGCATACGAAGGGCGTTGAATATACTCTCGCCTTCTTTCAATCGAAGGGCGTCGAGTACCTGAACAAGACGGAATATCCAAGTGCCACCTGACCTAAACCCCATCGATTACCGGTTCGGGCGGAGCTCAACAGGGTGGTCTACAGTGGCGGAGAAATCAACGACCTCGCTGAACTCAGGCACCGAATCACGGTCGCGTGGCAGAATCTCTGATGGCGCTCGTCCAGAAGGCTGTGGCGGAGTATCGTGATAGTGTACAATGTGTTGTTGAATATGGTGGTGGAAATGTCCAATCAGAATTTAATAAAGTGTAACTTATATCGCCTTGAAAGTCGAGGAAAAAAGTGCCTTTTTGCCCTCCCCCCGCCTCCCTGTTCACTCGAAATCCCTGAGATGTGGTGACATTCTTCGACTAACCATAAGCGTGGTGGCGGCTGCACTTTTAGTGAGATATATTCATTTCATTCATTCATATGACTTAACCCTGAGAAACGCGATAAGTGTCTTTTTTGACCCCCTCTGTATATGGATTAAACCCTGAAAAACGCATGTGTGATATGGGAAGGTATCTAACTCTTGTTCGCTGCGAATGCCTTCGGAATCGACTTCCATATCGGCCTTTTTTTGATATCAATGTTCGTTAGTGGTGATAAGTGAAATGGATAATCAGCAAAACTTGGAATCATATCAAATATGTCTTGGAGAGTGGGTGGCAGCAAGGCTGCGGCTACATTCAAAGAACTCGTCAAAGTTCGGTGAAGTCGTCGATTTTCAGTCTTGTACAAGAGTCATTTAGTGCATTTTCGACGGTTTATTTTGCTTTCTTGTTTAGCACAACTCCATTTACCATATGATTTGATGATTCTGTACCTTAAAACCTGCGAAGAGGCGATGGCGGCTGCTGCCTTTGAACACCACTCTGAGTGATACCTGCCTTGCGGCCTTAAAAATGCTCAATAAAGTCGTGGGTAGCAAAGCGTACACCTCTTGAAGGCTACGCGTAGACAAAAGAATTAGAATCAATCTACAGGTCGAGATGTTACAACCCGAGTGAAGGTCACTCCAATCTTATGAAGTTTTATCGAGTGCTGTGTCACTGACAGGGACTGAACTGATTTCTTGTAATACTTTCAGGGTATGACCGATCTAAAATGCCATGGGATTTGCGACCTGTTCAGAATTACATTGGACTATGGGCACTAACATCAACCACAGGAAGATCCAGGCACATTCCTTTTTTACTTTTCACTTTCTCTTCAGGCAGCTTTCTGCTGCGAATATAATTTAATTAGCTTAGGCGTTAGCAATTTTATGCTTCATCATCAGCGAGTGATTTGCAGAGATCTACCTCCACCCGATCAAATAGACTTCGCTATCAACCCTGTCCCGAAATTTGGAGCTCGTGCCATTAACATCACGTAAGTCAATTTGGCGTTTTTATGAGGCTTCATAAGCAGTAGCTCGAAGATACTTTCTGCAAGTACCTGCTAAGTAAAATGCATCCCTCGTTCATGGTTGAATGGCTGCCAGCTTGCTCTGGAAGGGTACCATACTCAATGCGCTCCTGAAAAGTGCGTTGCACGGAGAGGAGCTTGCGGAATGAGATTAGCCGCGCCTACTTCGGTTCGGGACCCACGAAATGGAAAAATAGTTCATTTCTGAAGGCAAAAAGAGGCGGCGAGGTTCATGACGGGAAGGAGGCAGGCACGTATGTGTAATAAAGGTGGGCAGGGGAATATGCATCCATGGCGCTCTTTTTTGCCCTCGATAGGGACGATGCTACTCCTACTTGTACGAGTGGGCACCCAATCGCTCTGTTCCCCATCTGCGCACCAAATGTCTCCCTATTCGCCGCACACTCGCTGAGCATCGACTTGACCTTACCTGGGACCTTTTCGACGGGTTTTCGCTCCCCTTTTCGCTAGTGAATCAGCTAGGAATTACAAAATCGCACTTCGCAATCCACCCCAGTACTGTGTTTCTGCAAAATTGACTCAAGCGGCAAACAACATAATCACCGACCACCAAAATAGAGCATAATGTATTCCAGGGGAAGAGCTTGGCGTTTTCCCGTGATTAATACCTGAATTCTTCTTCTTCTTCTCCCTAGCGTTAGTCCCGCGCCGTCGCAGGGTCCGCTGTTCTTGTTAGACGTCGCCACTTGTTCCGATCCACTGCATCTTCTGCCGTGGCTTTCACTTCAGTGAGGTCCTTCTTGATGACGTCCCTCCATCTTTTCTTTGGGGCTCCTCGTGGTCGCTTGCCCTCTACTTCGAATTCCAACGCCTTCCTTATTGGGTGGTCCTCAAGCCTCCTCAGTACGTGCCCATACTATCGTAGTCGCTTCTCTCGTGCCTTCAGCTGGATCGGGGAAATTGGCACCTGAATGGTCAGGTGATTAACACCTGAATGTGCAATTAAAATTAGAAATTGATATGACACTAGTAAGAAAGAACCCATTCACCGCGACTATTTTCTTTGTCAGCATAGTGGTTTCAGCAACAGTTCCCTAATCAGACCGCTTTTCCTTGTTTGTTGCTGTGTGACAATCATATGACGTATTGGACGCGGCGCAGTGTGAACAAGTCCGGGTGTATGTCGTTAGACCCGAGGCGCGCATCACGAATATGTTACTACAATATTTCCTGAGTAGTTGGCTAGGCTGAATCAAATGGGCCCTGGTGTGCATACTGCTCACAAGGCAACGCTTCAAACACGTCTTTCGTCCTTCGCCTCGGGTCTAACAATATACACCTGATTAAGTTAACGTTTAGCAGCTGTATGATAGCGATGTCTTCAAACGAGACAAAAATTATAATTACTTCTGTAACTACAGTCGTTATCGCTGCAACAATCGATGGAAAGCGGGCTGGCGCCGCTCCAGAACGTACCGGCTGCCTTGGCGATGAGGACGTTCTTAAGGCACGCCATACGACCCCCCCCCCACCTTCTCCATCCGCTGCTCGAGCCTTTTCTAGACCCCGGAATAGTTTCCACGTTCCAAGCCAGGAATTTTTTTTGTAGCAGAGGCGGGAGGCGGAACCAGGGAAAGGTAGAGGGTCAGGATTTGACGCAATCATTTCAACTATCGGCTAATAGTAGTTGTATAGATCCTTGCAATTCCCTCGTCCCAGAGCAGAACGACAAATAAACGACCTCCAGCCTCCCTGGTGTGATGCAGTCAACAACGACTACGTACCTGTTGACTTTCGAGTATCCCTATTGAGCAACCAAAGAAAATGTGCCTTCGAGGCTCGAAAGCTAAGCGCAGAAAAAGGGTCAAGCATTATTACTTAGGCCTGTAAGTATTCATGCAAGCACCGGTCGCCAATCGTCCCAGTCTACTCCTCTATTACGCATCTTCTCGGCCATGCTAGCAAGTCAAAGTAACGAGAAGGGTTCCTGTTTAGGATTTCTAAGTGTTTCGTTTTTCTTCTGACGCCGTTATTCAATTAGCATCGTCCACTTTCACATTCAAACATCAAAACTATCCTCGCATATATTCGGTTACATTCGAAAAACCCAAAAACCATAACGCTGATATAGGTGGGGTCACCATAAACTTATGTCCGGTTTTATTCCTGTGTGAGGGCGAGCATAGAAGTGAACTAAGTTGACCATCGCGCGATCGTAAGCGTAACTTGTGAAAAGAAGCATTTGATTTTTTTATTTTGATTTCATAAACTATCCAGAGAGAAAATATTCTTGAGAAATCATAGTCGAGACCCAACAAGAAGTCAAGGTGTTTTACAGCCGCCATTCTCTAAATGACTCATAAACAAGTCATTGTCCATTTCTTCGACCGTTTCTCAATGGAGAGCATATTTTACGAACTGATGACTCTTCTATGGTAGAAATTATGGAACGCTCAAGGCTAGGAATTTCTTTTCGAATAGCAGGTTTATGAGCGTTAACGACTGGAGCGGCATGGTTGGCTGTCATAAAGTATAATCAGGCAGAAAACAATGAATTCGCATGGAATTGGAGCAGGAATACCTTTGACTTTTTTGGCCTCTACAAATCAAAAGTGAGAGAATAACGCTTGATAAGCAACTGGTAGGCGTTTTGCGGGATTCTCAAACACATTCTTGTTGTGTGCGTGCCTTGTTGCTACCATTGCTTTCTTTGGGTGCAGTGGCTTGATACGACGTGAACAACGGCAAACAATGGAATGCGGAACATCAACGGTTTCGGTAACGTTGTGGTAGACGTCGATTACTCGCGAAATGCTAATGTTACACAGAACAGTGAAGGGAGGACATTAGGCATCGCTAAACGGGTACGAGGATCAAATCCAGGACCAAATCTCATACGGGGCAACCTGCTTTTCATTCTCCTGGTTGCGAAATTATACCTGATAGTGAGATTTTTATGAGACTGACCTACTTAACGGGGATTGAGTAGGATACGTAGTTTGTTTAAGAGCGGCGAGTGCTGCGCTTTTGGTGCGATGTTAAGGATCTGGAACAGTCGCGATCATGTACACTTCAAATCCCTGAGATGGGGTAGGCGTGGCTGCACACTTCAACTGAACGTGGCGCTAACTGTGCTTCTGGCGAGACAATTCCATTTCGAGAAAATTGTGGTCATGTCTTTGTCCAACACTGAACAAGATGACAGTTGTCTCAAATTGAAACATCCCAAGAGTAACCCTTTAATGCCATGCTCGAATGCCACGCCTATCTTGTCCCAGGGATAAGGAGTATATGTCTCTGTTCACACAAGATACCATGACTGTCGTTCGAAATTTGCACATCCCACGAGAAGCGTATCCTACGCCATCTTCCAAAGGAGTAAGCAGCAGCGCGCCAGCCAGTCAGCCGTGTTACGATTCCATAGCAAATTAGCGGTGGAGCGATCTGATGGCCAGGCAAATCGCGGGGCTTTCAAGGAT